GACCAGATTCCAGATTGTCGATCATCACTGGAACCAGCACCTTCTGTAGCCATGGCTTTCCACTACTACGATTAAAATCGAAGCAGCGGGCCCTTTCGGGCTCCGCTACCAATGTGCCTCGTCCTCGAGGACACAAAGGTAGCCCTACTCAAACTGGGAAACACCTATGGGACCTACAAACCACCTATGCAAGATCAAGCGGCCGCGCTATTTCCACCTCATTGCCTTGAGCCAACCGTCGATTCACGGTTGTTCATGCGAAGGTTCAACAGGGTGCTTGGATGCTCGAACGATTGCAGGTTTCACACATATATATATATACTGTATACTTTGCATCGAAGTAGAACCGACTCACGAGCGTGAAGTGGGAAATAGACAATCCTGGAATTGAACAATTGATTTCCGCTTCAGTTCACATGCATATGAGCAGCTGAACCAGCACACATCCACCATTGTACTGTCCTGGACATTTGCCACGTCAGCTCAAACAAAATATACAGTACGATCCCGCCATCGAGACAAGGACAAAGCAATGTACTTCTCCTTTTTTTCCTGATCAGCTCCTACAAAAAAAACACTGACAACCAAGCAACCACCACCACCACCACCACCACCACAACAACAACAACAGAGACAGCAGCAGCTGCTGCAAGAACAATAACAACAGCAGCCTTGTCTGCATTCTCCAACTACCGCTCGGACAAACAAAGAATGTCAAAACTGATTGAGGGGCTTTCATATTTACCTTTTCTCCGAAAGGACGTGGACCTGTGGTGAGTGAGTATCACCGGCAAGTTCCGTGTCCAATCACATATAAATGCCTCAAAAATGTTCTATATAATAGTGTAGTTGTTTGTTCATGGCAAGGGTAGGCAAGTCGAAGACATATCTTTTTGGGGGACTACAGTCTTCACATCTGCGATGGACTTCACAAGGCGTATACAGTGGCCTTGGTGTCAGAAAAAACAAAGTGGCCTGTCAGTTGGGCTTGAAGACTTACCAATTCTGCGAACTGACAGCAACAAGCCAAACTAGCAATCCAAATATCACTGCCTGCTACGAAGGCAACCCAGTTCAACCCACTGAAACAAAAGACAAAACAAAAGGTAAGAATTGAGGAGAATTGTTGAGTCCAAGAGACTTGAAGTGCGGCTTCAGACGCTTCCGGTTCATCTGATTGTTGAGAGTGACATTCATAAGTATGTGGCTGAACTGCAGAATCTGCGTGCTTGGGCACAGATGGTGCCTTGAAACTGAAGGAATCGAGGAGCTCAAAACTGTCTGGACACAGGTCAGCCTTCCGTCTCTGCATTTTTGCTAGCCACTTCCAAATCGTGGACGCAGTCAGAGATCCCGTTCCTTCCGACAGGAACCCTTCTCACTGCTCTTGGGCACAAGTGGCTGTAAGATGCATGACACATGCACTCAGAGCATTCGCCGCAAGCAGTGTCTGTTCAAAAAGCAAAATGGCATGCACGTCATTGGCTTCACAAACGGGCATGGAAAGCAGGCCTCAATGATGGCATCAGAGCTGAAGGAGTCAAGCCACTGCTTTTCTGCTGAGATTCCTGAAATGGCACACGCAGTCGGATGTCGAAACAAAACAGAAGTCAACCTACTTGCCCTTGCAGTAGCTCTCAAAGTTCTCTGAAGTTGAACAATTAAGGGCCTTGCCAGCAGCGACCCCAACCTGCACACCGCAGAGCATTTTGCAGGAAATGATGAAAAGGCGGCAGCATTGCCTCTGACCACAGCTTTTGTACAAGGGCAGGGGCTGGGCCGAGTAAAGACCTTCCCAGTCGATCCAACATCCAGTCCAAGCATTGATTCAATGTTCTTTCATAAGCTTTTTGAAGTCATCCACATGTTCAAGAACTATGATTAAGGCACGAGCTGAACTCGTGGAACGGTTTCGACTGCCTGCGAAGCCTCAGCTGGATACAGGCTTGCCAACCACAATCATTTTCCTGATAGGCCAAGTAGCTGCTCTCGCAATGCCTCAAACAAAACAAATCAAAACAAGTTCGAGTTCGAGCTCCCCCTACAAAAGCAGGTGCAATTGCAGTCGAGGCTGGAATGCTGTTGGGATACGCATTTCAGGTTTAGCCGTGAAAGTCAGGCCAGGTGAGAAGGAAGCAGAAGCGAAGAAGCGAAGGGTCATGGAAAATGAGCCAAGTGTGGAATCGCCTGAAACCACTTCACTACTGCACATGCTGCTAGTGGTTGTCTGGACTACTTTCCCTACCAAGGAGCCCCTGTGGTAAACTCTAGCTGGAAGGGACGATGTTCGTTGTTGCGCGCGAAATTGCTTCTGACTACCCGTATTGCTTCTGAGAGAGAACAGGCAATGTGAGCACCGAAGCAAAAGCTACCTTTGATCACTGCCAGCCGCTCGGGCTGTGACGGCTACAACACCCAAGCTCAAGATGTATTTATGTTCTCTGGGGCTACCTACCTTGGGCAACACGAGTGTGAGCATTTCTGTGCATGGTGACTGTTTGCGGCCTTGCATGATGGAGTTCTCGTGTCACACTCCATACTATTTGTTGTCCAGAAGTGCCAGCAAGTTTATAGCAAATTGCATAGGGCAAACTCATAACACCTCGACATTCAAGTGATACACTTGCACTGCTCTTGTGAAAGGGCTATCCTGTGATCCAAATTATGAATTGGGGAAATGGGGACAGTTTTGTGCATTTTGGAATTTGTCGGACTGTCAGCTCTTCGCGCGCCTACTTTCATTCCTACCATGTGACCGAAGGCTCTCTTACTCATGCTTAATTGAGGGGAATCCGCCGAGCTTCCAATGAAGTACGAGCGTCACCAGTGCTCAAGCGTAACACAAACAGTTCTTCACGTTTCTGCAAACCGTTTTCAGACTAAAAGGCTTTTATGCTTTTAGGTTGGAGGCTCGCTATTAGGTTGGAGGCCATTGCTATTAGGCTGGAGGCCATCACAGGCTGAAAAGGCTTTTGGCGAACTTAACTTGGGCCTTGTTGGAAAAGTCTGAGTGCGGAACAGCAAGATTTGTAATATCTACTTGTTGCTGCACTTGCAGTCAGAGCCACCTTATATCCACACTAACAAAAAAGTAAAATGAAAAAGTTGAAGCACTGTCACGCTTGAAGCTGTCCGAGTGAGTTGTCAACCACCTGCAAGCTAGGCCTTCTGCAAGACCTTTGCGTGCCAAAGAGTTGGCTTCCTGATCATGAAACTTGAGCAAAGCACAATCTCAGAAGGCTACCTAGATATGATATGCTCACAAGTCAATATAATTCAGGCTTGAAAACGTCCTTCTTGATCGGAAGCGCTTCCTTGCCAACTCATGGCAAGCTGCAAACGATCGAAAGTCTCAGAGACTGCAAGAAGTTGAGGGTGTCACCTTCTGGTGCCGTATTGCGTTGGTCAGCTGCCGATTGACTGGGAGCGGCCCAGCAGCCTAAGTCTTCCTTCAAAGGAACTTAAGCAAAGTAAAGCAAATGTAAAAAAATACATAAATACATTATAAATTGAAAAGATTGAGACCATGTCAGGACAAATATGGTAAAGCAGAATCAATCTTCTGAGCTATCAGCAACTGACAGAGCCATGGCACAAAATGCCAGTTTCCAACACGTCCAAAAGCAACAATAGAACGGAGTGTCATATTTTGGTGGAAAGTACAATAGGATGCCTGCATCATTGTGCCAGAACCTGTCTGTTCTATATGCAAAATTCTAACTATATAGCAGGATGATGCAGGCAGGGGCTCAATTTACAGTACAAACTGTTTGCAGTCCCAAAGTTTGTACAGTATTGGTCTATTTAACGGATGTGCTTGTCTCTCATTTGGCCTGACACTGCGGCACACTGTGACCCACCGAGCCCAGAGGCAATATGCAAGGAATGAACAGAAATCCTGCCTCCGTCGGCATGACTTCTGGAGTCACTGCAGGAGGCACCCGTGTTGCTGGAGTCTTCTCTGGCCTGGATGGGGCTGTCCCAATTCTCATATCTTCCCATCCTCCCATATTCTGATCATTGTTCTTCGCATCGGTCTACGTCCAAGCAAACTGATGCCTGTTCAGTTGTGTACAAAACACACACTGAGGCTTTGACGGAGGAACAAAGCCCCACGCTTTGCAAAGCAAGTGAGTGATTGCCAGAGCAAGGGAAACCTACAGGTGTTGCCAAATTGAGCAAGCAATCTTCACTGCACAACACAAAGTTGAGCATGCGGAACAAGTTTCCTTGAATTGAACTGTTTCAATGCAGCACATGCTTAGGCAAGAACTCCAAGAAAGACTCTTCTCCTTGGTCGCTGTGTGGACAGCGCCCCCACCTTGGAAAATCAACAAAAGGGGAAAGGAAATGAGCATCAAATCTCTCTCCATATCTACCACACGCAAATGCAGGGGCCGCAGCCGGAACTGAAATCCTGACAAAGAAGCTATATACATGACTCATGGCACTTGCAGCATCTCAACATCATCCACTATACAATCAAAGGTGTCGAAAACCAGATTGATGAGGCGGCACCTTGCCATTTTTGCAACCTTCGAGATCTACTCTGCCAGCTTGAATCTTGAACGGCTATCTGATTGAAGAAAAATTACGCATCTTTGTGACAACTGTAGCTGTTTGCATAGTGTAACTGTAACTGTATGTGAAAGTTCGTGGCAAACCAGGCAACAAAGCACCTTTCCAATAGTCCCAGATCTTGCGTGTGTCAGAGCTTTGGCCCATCACTGCAATAGAAGCAACCTTGGACCCACTGCTCACTACTGCAAGGATCTCTTGCGCAGGTTTGAGTTGCGAAGCAGAGTCCACCTGCAAACATGACCAGCCAATTTCACAAGTTCGTAGTTCAACCATATTGAAAGGCAAAAATGCAATACACATGAATAATATGTATATATATATATACAAAAAATGTTTTGTCCTTTTGAATCAAAAAGAATGACTCCTGGACTCCTGGTTCCACAGCAAAATATTGTATTCCCACCTTGTTAATCACGACGTGAAAAGGCACACCATGCAGCCCCTGACACCACAAGTCGCCATTGCCCAACACCTTGCCTATGGCTGCTGAGGTTATCGGTTTGCCAATCTCAGTTTGTGTGAGTTCGCTCACGATGTCCGCTCGGCAAACGTGATCCTCATCCAATGGCACCCCCAAAGCATCAACGCCAACAACCGCAACAACTGCGGCAATAGCATCTGGAAGCACAGGTTCCCTTGGAATTTTTGGTGCTTTAAAAGGTAACATTCTCGAACCATCAGCCTCCACAACACAAAGGTCGGCTACTTTTGGACACAATGCATCAATCCAAGATGGAGGGATACCCACAGCCCTCTGACCGTGGGCAGACATTTCACGTGATGAAATCAACGCGATCCGTCGAAATCCTTTGATGAATGCACGTGCGATGGAGTCGACAGCTTCTTCAAGGTTGGAAGTCTCGATGATGAGATCAACTTGTTGAGGGATGTGCGGCACAAGAATCCGCGTTGTGGTGGTGAATAATGCCTTGCAACCAGCACCAACACCTTCATGTAGGACTTGAAGTCCCAAAGTCGTCTTTCCACCTCCACCGACAAATGCCACGGTCACTGGCCGACCCAAGGCATCCCACAGGTTGTTTGTTGAAAGTTGCATTGCGGCACCACTGGCCCAACTGATTTTTTGGAAGCAAGCACCGATGCTGCCACAGTAATCAATTATAGCAACTCAGAAGATCTAAAGTACTAGAGAAACTAAACTATCATAACTTAATGCTGCATTTTTTGAATTATACTTAGTTCCAGTTAAATGATGTGAAGCTGAAAGTCTGAATCAATGGTGATGCTAAACGGCACCGGCACATTTATTGAAAATGGAGGATTTGTTACTCTCATGTTATCTGTCTATATAACAGTCTCATACTCAAATCAAAAAGTGTTGGCACTGCTTCACCCGAATCTACGATCAGTCCATATCAGTCCGGCATTTGCATGTATAGGACGTTGCCTTGTGACAACATCACACCTGCCAGCTTGCTGTGTCCAAAGTCGGTGTGCAACCTGCAACTCAATTTTGGTTTCCACAAGATTTCCCAATTAATTGGGTATCTGATCCAAGCCTCCGACGCGTGAGGGGGCAACTGGGTGAGTGGTGAGTGGTGTGCGATGAGTGGTGTGTGCAGTGCACGGCCCAGCGGCGCCCACGCGTCCATCTCTGCGCCTGCCACACAAAAGGCACGCGCGGCCCAGCGGCGCCCACGCGTCCATCCAGTCCTCTGAAGGCTCTGTGTGCTGCGCCTGCCACACAAAAGGCACGCGCGGCCCAGGTTGTGTAAGATGAGTTGTGTGAGACGAGTGGTGTAAGATGAGTGGGATGCGGATGTGATGAGAGGGGTGTGATGAGTTGTGTAAGATGAGTCGTGTGAGATGAGTGGTGCGTGATGAGTGGTGTAAGGTGAGTGGTGTGTAATGAGTGGGGTGTGACGAGTTGTGTAAGATGGTGGGGTGTGATGAGTGGGGTGTGATGAGTGGTGTGTTTCAGTGGAGGGCCCTAGAGCGCCTAACCGCCCTTTTACGTCGTGAGCCAGACTCAAGGCCTGCGGTCAACAGGCAGGTTAGAGTGCTACACCCTAAACTCACTTCCACAGCCTCTCAAAGTTCTGCGAGCTCTGCCGCTGCTTGTAGAGCTCAAGGACCAGGAAGCGTGCACCTTCAGCCTTTTGTCACCTTGCCGTCCGCTCGCCAGCTCGGTCTCCTTCTTCTGGATGACCATCTCGTGGCTCTTGAGGAGGTCGTAGAGCGGAGCCATGTGCGCAGCGCTTGGGGGCTTTGTAAGCTTGGATTCAGGTTGTGGGGTAGCCACCTGAGTCTGGCCTTCAGCTTTGCCAAGCTCTCTTGGATGATGGCGGATTCTAGCGCCGCTCGATCATCCCCTCCTTGAAACTGGCGTTCTGGATTCGCCGTGCTGTCGTAGACACTTTTGGCGTCCACTACACAGACGGTGTTGGGGTCTGTGTATCGCGGGTTCTCCTCCGCGATGACCGTCGAGGGTCCTCTCAAGCCCATCTGGATCTCCTCATCACCCATCATCATTTTGGGGTCGAACCTGGAGATCCGGAAAGACAGCATGGCGGCGTACTGTTTCTCCATGGCAGCTAAAGCCGTGCTCAGGCTGATGCTTTCGCACAGCGTGGCGCTGCCTGCCTTGCGCCTGAGTTTCTTGCTGCGCCGCGCTATGAGGCTGACAGGTGCCTTGAGGCCTCTGTTGAGCGCAGAAGTGGACATTGCTTGTATCCACCCGTGTTGCGGTTTGTTGCGACCGCTAGGATCGAAGCTGCTGTCCACCACCAGCAGGTGGCGGAGATCCTCCTCCTTGATGGAGTGTATCTTGATCTTGACTTCTCTCTGCTTCAGCATCTGGACCACACGGTTGCACTCCAGCAGGTCCTGCATCGTTGGCGATGGGAAGCAACCTGACAGGATGCCTGCCCAATTGATGGCAGCCACTGTGCCTCGCAGTTGCGAGATCTCCTCTTCATCCAACAGGGTCTTGGCCGCGTCCTTCTTCAAGGTCTTGCGGTTGACTTGGACAGCGGTCAACCTGTTTTGGACATAGTCTGTCATGTCAATCTCGAAGCTGTAGTCCGAGAGTTGTCTGAGTCTTCTGCCAGCGTATCCGCTGCCCTCGGACCTCGGACTGCATGTCCATCAGCTGCACGACCTTTCCGAACCTTAGTTTCTGCTCGAGGGTCTGCGTCTTCTGGCGATGGACCTCATTGCCGGCCTCCAGCGCGTCATTCACCTCCAGCACCAGAATGCCCTGTGTTGGCACTTGCTTGTTGGGATCCTTCTCTGACTCTTGTGGCCCATCCAGCGTCAGGATGCACCTGTCGTAGACATTGACTCGATAGCCAAGTTCCTTGAGCAGGATCTCAAGCAATGACCTTCTCCACCAGCTGGGACCGGAAACCAATCCGTAGACCTCAGTGAGCAAGAGGATCAGCTGGTTGGGGTCGTAGCCTTCAAAGCATTCGTCTGGAGGCATTCTGCATGCCAGCTTCTGTGACCTTGTCGTTGGTCGGCTTTGGAGAAAAGCAGTCTTGGCGTCTTTGGAAACTGCCTTCCACTTGCGAGCTGCAGCCAACTGCATCATCAGGTAGATGCTCGAGGTGAGCGGTGTAGGCGCCGCCCTTTCTATTTGGTGGATGTGTGGATCTCTCCATCCAACCACACACCATCTGCTCTTGGCTGCCAGACCTTCATGATCTGCCGGTTCGAAGTTGACCTCGCCATACTTCTCAGGAAGCACTCCAAAGCGGTCGGTGGGTTTCCACCTGTCCACATAGCGGGAAGTGAGCACATGCTGAGGGTTGCTCCTTAGGAACTCCAGGGACTCCTTCACACTCAAGATGCGGATTGCACCGGAGTCGAGCAGGGACTTCACTTCTTTCGCTCTGGCTGCTCTGAAGATCTTCTTGCGCTTCTCGTTGAGGCTTCGGAACTCAACCTGTCCAGGTGAAGTCTTGGTCTTGGTGAGGTATAGGCACTTGTCTATGGTGTTGAAGAACGCTGAGGCTTGCTTGGCATCAAACTTGGAAGACGAAGATGACCTCATAGTGTACCTGCCAGTTGGCCGGTCCAGAACCCAATTAAGAGGGTGTCGGTAGCAACCGGAATCGTACTGTCCACACGCTCTTTTCACTGCGAAAGCGAGCACGGTATAGCTCAAGGGCCCTAGGAGCCAAACGGCGGCAGACACAACATAGTGCGACAACCTGGCTCAACAGAATGAGATCCTACCTCAAATTCACACTCAACCTGTTCTACAGGTGTCACACGGCTATACATTGAAACTCTTGTGTCTTCCTAAGGCATTGAAGAAATCTACTTCTGCTTCTGTACAGTGTGGTGGCACTCCTTCAGCACTCGAAGTAGCAGATCTGGCTTCATGGACTTCGTCAAACAGTCCGACACCATCGTACTGGTGGCGATCCAGATCAACTTGCCTCCTCCATTCTCGAAAGCAATCCATGTTGGTCTTCCTTCTTGCCACAAATTCTCGTGGATTCCTTGCAACTCGATACCAAGGCGTTTGTCACTCACCTTGGCCAGGACTTCCTGATTGAGGTGGTCAGAAAG